CTCAAGATCTGGCTGCTTTTCTCCAGAAGCTATCTGGGATCAGTGGGGTCATACTAAAGATGAAAACGATCTGCACTGCCTGCAGAAATATCTGATAGGGTCATTCTGGTTATCTTCCTTGCTTCACATCCCTTGTGGAAAACTAGTTGTCAATATTTGCGTCAATGGGATGTCACTTGATGAGATACCTCAGATTTCTAAAGTGAACAGTTATACCTTCCTCATCATCTGTAACTGAACATAACAATCATCCAACTACAGCCAAGCCTGGGAATAGTGAATGTCAGAAGGAGAAAAGAAGCTAACTCAAAATAAGTTTGAAGAAAAGATGAGTAGAGCTGACAGATGGTACAGCACTTCAAGGAAATCACGACTTTCCCCTGCTTCCATCAGTTGCTAAGGAGAGACTATATATAAGAGAGTATCAAGAATATCAGCATTCAGGTAATGCTTAATTCTGATCAGTGTGGATGTTAATTCTGCCACGTATGGATGTAAGATGGAAGAAATATCTTCCATCTTAATCCAACCTGCTTCTCGGGACTGGAGCATCCATCCTCATGACTATTTCTAAGATGGAAGATGGGAATATTCTATCTTTTAAACTCTCCAAAAAACTGTTCAGGAGCATTAACCAGTTCACCATGCCGCTATGTATCTTTTGATTTCTGCAAAGGCAAATGGGAACATCTCTGAACACACTTTTCTGCAGCTTAGTGACTCCACATTCAGTAGCTGCTTTAAGCCAGAACAATGATCTTTCTCTTTCCAGCGTTCCACAGGATAGGATTCAACCCCATTAATGACTGTATTTCCCTCCTTAACACTCCAACGATACTTGGCTGAGAGGGGATAATGTAATTGTCATGACTGAAATGAAATTCAGATCAGTTGAGGAGACAGAGTGTGAAGAACACACATTTGCTATAGATATTCATCTGGTAAAGAAAAAAAAAACTTGCTTTTTTAAAAAAAGATTGCAAGATGTATATTGTTTACTCAGGCTTTAACTGACTGAAGGGGAGAACTGAAAGGGGTGTAGGGAATGAGACTATGTCTGGATGGAGACCAGTCACCAGCAGTGTTCCTGGGGCCTCAGTCCTGGAGACAGTTCTGTTCAATATACTTATCAATTATCTGGATGCAGGAGTTGAATGCACCATTAGCAAGTTTGCTGATGATACTGAACTGAGAGGTGTCGTTGACTGTCTTGAAGGACAAGAGGCCTTGAAGGATATGGATAGATTGGAGCATTAGGAGCAAAGATTCATGGGATGAAATTTAACCACCTGAACTGCCAGATTCTGCACCGAGTACAGAGTAATGCTGGGTACAAGTATAAACTAGAAGAGGAGTGGCTGGAGAGCAGCCCCACAGAAAGGGGCCCGGGGTTGCTGGTTGACAGGAGGCTCAACAGGAGTCAGCAGTGTGTGCTCTGGCAGCCAAGAGGGCAAAACTCATCCTGAGGTGCATCACACACAGCACAACCACATGGCCAAAAGGGATGATTATCCTACTGTATTTAAAGCTGGTGTAACCTTATTTTGAGTATTGTGTGCAGTTCTGGGCCCCAAATGTGCTTCCAGAGGAGGGCACCAAAGGTGGTCATAGGGCAGGAAGGCATATCCTTTGAGTTGCTGATCTCTTCTCCCTGGGATCCAGTGATAGGATGTGGGGGAATGGTTCAAAGCTACAGCACAGAAGGTTTAGACTGGACATTAGGAAGCATTTCTTTACCAAGAGGATGGTCAAACAGTGGAACAGGCTTCCTATAGAGATGGTTGATGCCCCACACCTGTCAGTGTTGAAGAGGGATTTATTTGGACAAGCCCTTAACAACATGGTTAATTTGGTCAGCCCTGAAGTGGTCAGGTAGTTGGACTAGATGATCATTTTAGGTCCTATCCAGCTGAACTATTTTATTTTACATTCCATACTTCATATTCCATATTCTATATTCTATATTCTATACTCTATATTCTATATTCTACATTCTACATTCTATATTCTATATTCTACATTCTATATTCTCTTCTCATCCTTCCTTCAACAGAAGCACTGATATATTGCCCGCTAAAATATCTCCTTTGTTTCTTACTTTAACTATATTATATCTACTAATTTCTCAAAAGACAAGAGCTATTGGAGAGACATTCCAGCTGAGGAAGAACCAACACAATCCTCAGATTTAGGTGAAACCATGTTAACAACATCTTCCTCTTCAACAACATGCAGCACCCTAAAAGATGGCCACTCATTTTAGTAAAGTGATGCAAAAAATTTTATTTGGTGGCCATACACAATAATAACAATAATGATGGGAATACACAAGAGTTAATGAGGAGCACTCTTACTTGAGAACTGAAACCCACTAACAGAACAGGACCTGCAGGTGTAGGTCCTGGAGTCACTCATCATCTCAGAGAAGGATGCAGTTATATGCTGCAAAGTCCTATTTCATGAAAGGGCTTCATGGGAGGGAAAAGGACCAGGCTTGTACATTTTTGCAATGGAAAGCACCAAAGAGAGCCTAAAGCACCCTTAAGAGTTACTGGGATAATCCCCTAGGCTATAGTGTAGGTGAGGTTTAGGTGACTGGCAGCAAAATGCACTGTGGATTAACTGAACACGATGATGACACACAGAATGGAAGGCATAGAAAAAACCAAGAGACTGGTAGGGCTAGTAAGAGGACAGGGCCAGTGGTGGTAGCTGGGGGATATTCATAAATTTTATGGCTAGAAAGGAAGACAATAAGAAGAAAGGCTGTAAAAGTGACTAATATGATTTAAGGCCAGTAGGAGAGGGAGCAGAGGTAAATGGATTAAGCAGTCACTGGAGGCAAGTATTTTGGGTCAGAGCACAACAGCGGGGATAAGGGTAGAGAAACATCACTCAGGCTCATTTCCCAGACCTTCCTCCATATGCACTGCCTCTCTTCTTCCACATAACAAAGACTTAAGAACCTCCTCAAGATTCCTCTTTTTTGGCTTGACTTTGACTTGACTTTAATGAACTATCTTCCATATTGATGCTGTTCAGCACTCGTCTTTCCTTTGCTTTTTGCTGTGTGGTCTGTAACTATCTCAGTCAGACCACAAGCACCACAGTAAATCGTTACAGCAGTAAAGTGTAAATCACAGAGAAACACAGCATCTAAACTGTACCTGAATTACACCTATGGTGTTCTATGAATAATAATCTACCCAGTTGTACAGATGAATTGCAGAAATAGATTAAAAAGGGTGAGATGTAGAACTTGAACCAGATGTGCCACAGCTCTGGTCAAATTAAGATGCAGTCAAGAATTTGAAACATTATGCTACACATTTTATCTAAAGCATTTAGCAGCACACAGAAAACCTGTTAACTTGGGGAAAAGCTGTGACATACTTCTAATCCAAGAAATATTACAGACAGAGTTGTCACCAGTAAAAAACAAGTTGGACTCAAGTGAAAGAAATGGTAAAAAAATTACAATAAGAAGCCATTATAGGACACTGGGGGAGGATGAGAAAGCAGAACAGGAAATGTTTATGTAGATAAAGGAAGCCTGCAAAATAGCTACAACAGGAATCATAGAAATTTCAATCATCCCGTCACTGAGGGGAATTGTAATTAGGAAGTATCAAATAAGTGTGAAAAGCTGAGGACTTTACATAGCCCTGAATTGTCTTTCAACAGTTTATGAACATGCAGCTCTAGACAGAGAAGCAACAGCCTCAGAAAACTCACATCCTGGCTTTTATCTCGAAATCCAAAATAGTGCAGAAATGAAAGAATCAGTTTATTGACCTTCTGGGTTATACTACTAGCTCTATTTTCTCAGGCCTTCTGCAGATGGTTGGGGGCTGGTATATTCACAGAGGATGTGGTTCATTTAACTTCTGGGGATTGACTTTTGTCGTGTTTGTAGGTGGCATGAACTATGAATTGTTAAGAAGAAAGCTTTGCAAGCTATGAGATGGTTAAGTGGCTACACATTTTTACCACCCAAGTTATTCTTAATTAAAGTTGGTGTAAAAGGTAGGCAATAACTAGTCATTTCTGGAAATCTCAATATACACTAACACAAGTTTAGTTCCATTTGGAGTTAAAAAAATCAGGTATAAAATCCATTTTGCTGACAGCAGCACCATCTTGGCTTCTGTGAGGTTTCAATTCTCCACTGCAGAAGTGCCGTTAAGAAAGGGAGGCATTGGCAAAGCTTCTTTGTGTTGCAGTTGTATGAAAGAACAGTCAAGTGAAAATTACTGGATGTTACTTAGGTGATGTTAAAGCATCTGGTAGCATTGGTTTTCTGTCCATCCCAAGCTTTTTGCTTGCCTTCTACTCAGACTCTGTGTGTCCACTGCACCGCTCCAAGCCCTCCTTCAACCTGCGGCTTCCACCTAGTTCTTCCAGTTGACATACAGATACCCTTGATCCTGGCCTCGTCCAAAACCAGTTTGTTCTGCCATGGGGCCAGCATAAAATAGGTGGAAGTCCCCTCTCATATTGGACTTCAATAGACTCAGGGAACATCATCTCATACTAACGGGACTACAGTCAGGAAATAAAAAGAGTGGCAAGAGTAACCCAAATAGTTACAGGAGATAGTTCAAAGCATGTTCTTCTGAGAAGCTGAAGCTCTACAATTTATTGACCTGGACTTAATTTTTGCAAAGATTCTGAATCTGAATCTGAACAAGCACCTGGTATGTTACAATTCATAGCACATATGTCTGCTATTGTTATCATTCTGCACAACAATAATCACTTTAATATTAGCCCTGACTTCATTCAGCGTTACTACTATAATACAGAACATTCCTTGACATCTGCTAAAATGGATAACATGCTTTCATAGACTTTTGTAATTTTTGGTCTTTATTTGCCCTGGTGAAAGATGGTCTAGCTTGATATTTCTCAAGACATAACTGTTGTGTCTGGAGTCATCCTTGTTTGTATAACAGGAATAGCACCTCTGTGACTTGCAGGGGATTAAAATGAGCACTTACTATAAGGAGACTGTGATTCGCTAAGGTGAATTTGATGAACCTGTGGGAGAAAAGTGCATAGTTAATTCTACTTTTCTCTGGTTCCATGTGTGCACTGGTCTCCAAAAGCTGTGCAGAGAGATTTTCAAGAACAAACTCTAATCAAACCTTTTCCTTGGAAACTCTCACTAGCAGCCTGAAGAAATGTCTGCTTTATTTTAATGAGCACTTTCAGCAGTATCACACAACTTTATGCTTTCATAATTTCAAAACTCTTATTTAAATAGCTGTGACAATCAAGCCAATTATGCTCCCATGGACCAATTTTTAGTTATCTTTGGTCAGCTTCCATTAAAAACATATTTGAATCCCCTTGCTGTCAGCTGAAATATTTTTTTGGAAATCAGTATTATTTGTCTCACTAATTACCCTTTAACTTGCTTTTGCTTATTTTTACAATTTTTCCTTTTTTCCACCTTCTGCATTATTTATTTTTTTAAGACTTACTACTTATTGTTTCTGCCGACCTTTGGACCCCTGAGCCTATGAAGCTCTGGGATATTTTTTCCTATTTAAAATTCAAAAAGGGACATTTAGTTTCCTTTTCTTTTTTATTCCCCCAAATATTTTCTGCCAGCAATTCCCTTTCAATAATATGACTGCTTGATTTTGTTTCCCCAGCTCACAGAAATTCTTGTTAAAATAGGAGTAGAAGAGATTCTTTTGGCAGCCTGCCTGCTGAACTCTAGAAATGCCACTTCACATAGTCCATGCTTTGGATGGTTGAGTGAGTTCCAGAGAATATAGCTGGGAAGAAAAAACCTGCAGATTGAAGCCTGTTAATCTGAGGACAGGGGGACCCATCCTCTAAATGGTTCCATCTAGATCATCACACGTCTGTTTTATTCTGAGTGCTTCATTTTGGCAAAGCAATTCATTCTCTTTGCTGCTCCATTTGTTGGTCATTGTGATAACTCAGCTGGCAGGCACTAGTGGTGCCGGTGAATCCTGTGACACTGACACCCATGTAATAATAAGCACATTAAGATATGGCACACAGACAACTAGACAGTTATTAGATAGTAATGACTTTAGACCTGTGCTTACCTGAGCGTCCTTTAAGGCAGGAATCTGGCTGGGAAAGGATGGCTCCGTTGTCACTTCATGGTCATCTCCCCTAATTATATAACTGGGAAGTCCTAAAAGCGTTTTAGTCTTTTGTAAGTGAAATTAAACTGCAAGTTTGCACTCAATCTTTGCATGGAAAATGTTAAAATTCACAGCAGATTTCCAGACGTCTGCTTCCCAACTGTTTTTAAAATCTAGGTCATTATATATAGGTGGCATCAGATAAGTCTCCATGGAAGTCTCAGAATATTTTAAACATCAAAATGGGTCAGCTTTCTTTCAAGCTTGTAACCATCTAACACAAGTTTTTGCATGTGTACAGTCCATGAAAGGTTAAATATCTCTCTTGACCCCTCATTGAACAGGGATTTTTACCATTCCATATTCTCATAGCTTGTAAGACAGCATTTTCTAGATAAATTCCCCTGCTATTTCAATCTGTTTGATGGCTTTTGCCATCCACTATGAAACCTATGGCAATAAAAATCTTACCTTGTTCCCGACCTTGGTCATTCATTTCCACATGCATTTCCACAGTCATTCCTTGACTGCAGGCATTTTCCCCAAGTTGAAAATTTGATGGGCCTCAGCTACTATTGTTTCTCTGATTTTGTAATTATTATTGTCCTCATTATTTTGCCCCAGACTGAGACTGAATCAGCAGTTCCAAATGGTGCCCTACTCCTTTGTGCAATTTTACACATGCTTGCAAACAATTTTCAGACTAGCCGGCAACACATACTAATCTAAGCCATGCAGAGCAGAGGTATGTGGTAGTGCAGTGCTGGAGAGGGCCACCACATGGATGCTGCTGGGAAGTAACAAGGGTGTTGATGAGTCAAATTTCATTGCCAAGGCTGAAGTAGTATCATCATTAGGGAAACAGACATCAGACCCAGGTGGTTTCAGTGGCAGAAGGATGATGGATGGGTAAGACATTGCTGGGTGAGGAAACCCATGACAGTAGTGGATGCTCTGACTTGGACTTTCTACAGGTAGATGCTACTTTACCTGTGGACCAAAATGTTGGAGGGGATCCTGCTGTAACAGAGGGCAGATGTGTCAGCTTGGGAAGCTTTATGCTGGTACCTTTACAATGGATCAGGTCGACTGCTTAGGGCCATAATCCAGTTACGGACATGTCATGATTACAAGCCTCAGGAACAGAGCCACGGGGGCCCCTAACAGCCCAAAGACAGAACTACAAGCCAAAGCCTGACACATTTTCCCATCGCCAGTCTGAGTGCCTGAGAAACCAGCTGAGAGCCAGGTCAGAGTGAGAAGGTCCTCACTAGCCTTAGTGAAATGCATGACATTTGGCAGCTCTACGGGCTATTGAAACCCCTAAAAACATTCCCAGTGCTTTCAGAGGACTGCAGATCCTGCTTACAGGCTGCTTTCCTTGTACCATGACAGCGCTTCAGGAACTCAGATAATATCACCAACTTCTGAACATAAATCCACCTGCATCTGGAAGTGTTTACTAATTTTTTTTTCCAGAGCTTTTTATGTCTGCTGGTAATTTTGATGTGCTTGCCCACAGTTGCTAAAGAATAAACTTGTCTCTTTTTTCATTTCTTTCCATTGCAACCAATACAATATCCTTGTGCCCATTGCAAATTTCACCACCACTGAGCTCTTCTGGCATCATGCTGGCTTGTGTTTTTAGGGCAGAGGGGAAGAGGGTTTTGTATGGTCATTTAATGCATGAGAAAACTCATTAATAGATTTTCTGGGTAGCTGAAATGTTGTTTTTTTCTGCAGAATAGAGAGAGCCTAACACTGCAAGCTTCCTCCTGATGCCCTGGCAGTCCCCTGCAATTCCAATTTGGTGTGACTGTTTCTTTGGAAGGGAAGAGTAGCTTGAACTCTGTGCTTATTCATTCTCAATGCTGTGTCTAATCAATGAAGCAATTGTAACTTTTGGTGATGTGAGTGTTGGCATGTTTTAAATTGACAGGAAACCCATCACTTGTACAATTGCTAGGCCACAAGGTGAGAATGAGAAGGAAACAAGACAGTGACTATGCATACAGACCAGATCTGAGCCCACACGTAGCTGAAGAAACTCACACCCCCTTTCAAACAGTCGAAATACCCAGTCCCTTCATACTGGCATATTTGTAACCTGTTGTTGAGAAGCTAAGGCAATGTCAAGAGCAGACGGTAATTACTTAAGCTAAGTTGTATAAAACAGCAACAGATAGACTGCTCAACCAGGGAGTTACAAAGATTTTGTGCAACTAACAAATAATTAAATAAAAGTATTGTGTGCAAATTGAACCTTTTGGAAAAAAACAACAAAAAAAAACAAAGTGAAAAGGTCTGTGTGCACTGTCAGTAGCTCCTTGTATCCCTGGGGAACACAAGGGTGCTCTCTTTCTTGGCCATGGGAATACAGTGTCGTTCCCTGAAGATGGCTAGAAGCAATACAGCCATCTACTGACTGACAAGGTTAACCACAGCAGCTTTATGTGCTCATTTAACTTGCCATTTCCATCCTAAAATTGTGGCCTTTGGAAAACTGGTTTTCAGCAGAAGCTAATTACTGAAGTGCATAATTAATAGCTGATTAGTAACTCGCTGAGTCTCCCTGTTACTCATTGTTTTGACATCTGGTTGGGTAGCTATGTGAATAAGCACTCCTAAGCATGTGCCATGTATTTTCCCAGGCATGAGATGGCATCACATCTCGTGATTGACATGCAAGGTTGGTGTTTGCTGAACACTGATCACTTCATAAAAGTCAGAGAAACACTCTGGACACCAACACAATGTTGTCAGAGCAACCAGGCAAAATAAGGTGATGTGAGTGTCTGACTCAGGAATTATTGAGGATATTTCATTATGTTTAAGAGCTGTTTGTAGGTTGTATGCTGATGCAGCTGTTTGAAAACGGAGCCTGACATGCAATACCCCATGTGCTATGTGACCTGAGGGCTCACATGTCCTAAGGCCATGGAGTCTTGCAGGAAGTCCATGTCTTGCCACAGACTCTCATTAAAACAAACAGATGAAGAAGAACATTTCAAGTTCATATATAAGGAAAGTGTGAAAATAGAATGAAAATGCATGAAAAAGATCATTTGTGCCACAGTAACACTTGGATACTGGATGGATGTCAAGAAGCTCCCTTTTACCGAAAGGCTTTTGTAATCCCTAAATGAAAATAAATTGTTGGTTACAAATCATATCAGGAACAATGTCCATGCTAACAAACTGAAAAAATACCTGACATACTTTGTGCACAAGTAGCTGGCTGAGCAATCCAAAAAGCACTCACAAAAACATAGTGAAATAGCAGACCTTGTGTAAATATAACAAGTCTTGCATTGTTATGAAATGACTGTAGGGATCAAGATTGACCAGAGCAAGTGACTCTGCCTATAAGCCTCATGACAGGTTGGTGAATGAACACGGTGAATGAAGTCCCACAGTCCTCCCTGGGTTTAGGAGGAGCTGTGTAACCTGCAGTGCTGCTGTGAAAGCTCTAAATGCTCTGTAGACAGAAGGCTGATTACATACACACATGATTCCTACCCTTGTTGGAACTGGAGCATCCAGATTTACACGACTAAGACTTCTCTTTGAAGTGTCACTATGAGGAAATTGTGCCTTTCTTCCTCTTGCAACCACTTCAGCATGGCTTTAATTCAGCATGGCTTGCATTAAATTATAACTATGTTTAATCCCTATTGCTTACAAAACCCATAGGCTGAATTCACCCTTTGCAATTTTTAGAAAAAACAAAAGCCAAGGCATCAAGAATTACAGGTAAAATACTCCTCCTAGGTTATTTTGTTGCTTCTTGCTATTGTAAATGAAATGTTACTATAGGTTCTCAGGACACAGTGTAAATCTCAATGTATAAGAGCAAAAAGTTTTTGAGACTTTAAACTGAGATTCTTCTTACGATATTCAAAAACTTGTAAAAACTTTTTTAAAATAAGAGTGTGATGCTTAATGGACAGAGATAAATATGTTATTATATAATATTATAGCTACAAGAATAGCATTTCAGGCTGAGAAGGTTATATTTTTCAAAGTACGGATGTCAGGATGACATCTAAAAAGACAAACAGGCGTAGACAAGCATTTGGAAACAAAATATTTAGAAGGAAAATCTAAACCAGCTTGTTTCCACTTAAAAGTAAACAAGAGTGTCATCACAACAGACATGAGACAATGGCTCAGACATAACAAATTATAAATACACAAAATATATGTATTTCCAGAACAATTGGATCTTGTTTCTGTAAATACCTATGGGCTGGAGTGAATGCATGAAGTTTCCTGGGATTGCTCATGAGTCAAGTTACTGGCTAGAGTCTGTAAGTCTCCAATCATGTGCAGTGACATTTGCAAACCTGTAGGACTGGAACCTCAAAAATGATAACTTGTTCTGAAGAGCAATGGTTTTTTTTCTATGGATTGGATAGTATTCAGCAAGCATTTGGTCATATACATATACATACAGCTGTAGAGTAGAGCCTGAGAATCCACAGATTTTTCATAATCGTTAGACTGGCAATTTTAAAAGTTTTTCCTCTTGCCCCTCACAAAGGCACATTCTCAGTCCAACAGTTACTGAATTATGTGGCTATTTTCACCTGTGTAGCATCGACACACAGAGTGCACAGGGGGAAAGAGAACTCCTGAGGGCACTGCTGGGAGGGATAGTGCCAGGAGGTAATGGCTACACCGCAGCTGCAAGAAGGGAGAAGCTGCATCCTAATTTCAAGCATTTTCATCACTACCCTGCTCCCACCCAGACACTTCTGCTATAACCCCACTCCTAGCTCCATTCCTCGTGCCACAGACACCACTGGAAAAAGGCAGTGGTGCTGGGCCATGCCATGCCTGGAGCATGGTGAAGAAGGTTTGGAACTAGCAGTGCTGCTCTGCTCTGCCCTTGCCATTTCCTCACATCAGGTCCTGGGAGCTGGGGAGGCAACCTTGAGACAAACAGCACTGTTGCGGTTAGTGGAGGAGCAATCCTTTCTTTAATAAAAAGCTGGGTATTCGCTTACATATCTTAATTCTTTCCATGCGTGCCCTTTCTTGCTCTCACCCCCTAAATTTTGCTCCAGCAGAAAAACAGGAATTTGGTCTCATATCTGGGATTTCTGGAGAGCTAGCAACCTGACCGTATGTGCAGCAGTGCAGATCAAATGATGGCTGTCCTGATAAGCGGCCAGCACACGTACATAGATCAACTGCACTTCAAGTGAATATAAACGTGAGGTATCTGGAGCACGTCACACTTACTACACAGATGCTAGTTATCTGAGTACATGCCAGGAGATGCCTGTATCCCCCTTTCTGCCTGCTTTGTCCTGAGCTTAAGTTAGAGATGCTGGCACAAACTTTATGCAAGATAAGATAAAAGACATTTAAAAATCTGACAGACTACCTATAATGTAAATCAGCAGCCAGAGGAATTTTTCCTTTGAGCATGAAGAATTCTGGCTGCCATCAGGTTGCTTTCTTTTTTTATTTAGGTTTCGAG